AAATTTTTTTAAAAGTCAACCATAGCAATCTCCACATTTCTATGATTTAAAAAAATCAGGATGATGCCAGGGACATTTATGGAGTAGGACTAAATATGCATATACCTTACATTAAAATACAGTTCATTATATTTTTAATGTATCAATGTTCTTAACTCTTAAACTATAAAAACCTTCATAAACCAAGGTTTATCTTTTATATTACATTTAAGCTTCACCACAATGAATGCAATAAACTTTCAGTATATACTTTCACAAAGAAAAGAAAATGTCTATCCTCTGACCCCAGTTCTCATTTTGTTTTACTTCTCTGGAAATCTTCACGAATTTTTGGTGTAATTACTTCAAGCTGATGTTTAATTCTCTTATCCTATAGTAGGAAACGCAATAGAATGAGAGGAGATATTTTAGAAGAGTTCATGAGAGTTTGGTGGTATCCCTAAAAATAGATTCAAAAAGGGGAAATTTGGGAGTTAAAGTGCCAAAATACATGTTTAAGTTGATTAAAATGATAAATTTTTAAAAACATTCTTAAGATTATATTTATGGAGAAAAATGTTAAATGGGTGTCACCAACTTAAATCTTCAAATATGTTTTTGAGTTCATAAAAATAAATAAATCCAAGCATTTTCATTTTATTTCTCAGCGTCTTATTAAAGTGTTTCACAAACAAGTTTGAATAAGATATGCTTCAGTTAAGGCTTCAAAGTAAGATGTAAATTGTAATATGTGGACAGTGATTCATTCATTTACTTCTGTGTTATATATTTCATGTAAAATATGCATTGTTTTAAGATTTGGTTAAAATGCCTAGAGCTTGATGTGGGGTCGGGGGTGAGCATGTTACATAAAAGCAAAGCAGTCCTTCAAAACTTTTCATGTTGGAAATGCATGCCAAAAAATATAGTATATTTAATACACAAAGTCAAGCATGAGAAGGATTCTAAGTGTTGGCATCACATTCAGAATAGCAAGAAATTAACCTCAGAAAGATTAAAGAAAACAATCTGCTGGTTCCTTGACTTCTTTGCAGACAAAGGCTCATCCATTCTTATCTCCTTTGGCATCTCAAGTTCTCCCTACCACCATAACAGTTAAAAAGGTAGACTGGAGAGTTGGTTAGAACTCAGTACAAATCTCTGCTTCTTTAGTCAAACTGCTGCTAATTTGAGACAGTAAAATTAAACTTATTGAGCTTGAATTTCCTTTAAAGTGAAAAATACATATTAATATCCATGTCAGAAATATGCTGTGAAAGATACAAACTTTCAGTTATAAAATAAATAAGTCATGGAGATGTAATGTATAGCATGGTGACTATAGTTAATAATACTATATTGCATATTTAAAAGTTGATAAGAGAATACATCTTAAAAGTCTTCATCACAAGGAAAAAATCGTAACTATGTACAGGGACAAAGGTTAATTAGACTTATTGTGGTGATCATATACAAATATTGAATCATTATGTTGTACACCTAAAACTAATGTTATATGTCAGTTATACCTCAAAAAAAAGAAGGCTGTTGGCACAATTAGCTGAGATGATGTATATAATATTCATAGCATGGTACCTGACCAAAGATGAGCAATCAGTAACTATTCATTGAATGAATGTTTTCATCCAGGTATAAAGAGATGTATAAAGTGAAGTCCCGCAGAGAAGTGAATGATGTTAGGTAGGAAATCCAGATGAATTCGTTTTATATAGCTGCCCTTTCAAGAGGCAATTCAGTTCTAATCAAACCACAAGAGAATAAAGGCAAAAAAATCTTAGAGCAATGCTTTTCAAATTTTACCTGTATACAGATCACCCAGGGATCTTTTTAAAATACAAGTTATGATTTATGGGTAGGATCTGAGATACTGCATTTCTAGCAAACTCCAGATGATGCATGTGCTGCCTGTCCACTGAATACACTTTAGCAAAGTCCTAGACCACTTGAATGCATGGTATTTTAAGAAATACTGTACTTAAATCCATATTTGTCTAGTCCAACATTCTGTTTCCTAGAACAACAGCTTAAACCTAATTCATTTATTCACATAGTAGATTATCTAGTGTCTACTAGGTGCCAGGCACTGTTTTAGGTTCTAAGTATAAAATAATGAACAAGACAGATAAGAAACATGCCCTTATTGAGCTTGTACTCTAGTAGTAGGATCAGATAATAAACATGTAAACAATTAAAATAGTTTCTAGTCGTGATTAAAACTATCACGAAAATAAAATAAATTTACTGTGAGATTGTGTATGGTCAGTTAAGGCTCCCTAGCAGGGAGACAATTGAACTGAAACCTGAATGTTGAGAAGCAGTGTGCTGTGTGAAGATATGAAAGTTTCATGAAAAGGGAAGAGAGAATGCAAAGGCAACAGTGAGATTGGTCTGTAGGAGGAAAGGAAAAAAAAGTCACTGTGTCCAGGGCATAATGCCATTATTTGGATGCAAGACCGTGATGGGCAATCAGGAGCGATTAGGGGGGCAAACAGGGGCAAGGTCACACCTGACCAAGTTGTGGGACCGTGGGGGGGGGGGATGTGTGTAGAGGGGGGACTGCCAGGGAGGAAAGTGAAGTAAATGCTGAAACCTTGGAGGTTGGATCCAAAGTGGGTCTTAACAGCTCCACAGAGGGTTAAGGGGGACTCTAGAAGAAATTGGCTTACAGTAAAAGTACACCTGACTAAGCAGAAAATGGTAAGTGAAAAAGATCTAACATAAGGTGTGGGACACAGGTTGGGGGGAAAAAAAAAAAGACTAACTCAAAAAGCAAGAAAGGTTAAAATTGTACATCCCTTAGGTTTACACTACAAGAAACAGGAATGTATTATTTATGTCATGCAAATTAATGTAATCGCACACAGGTAGCACACTCCCCTCTAATGCTGCAGGATGAGTTAAATTTTTCTGAATAGAAATGATTAAGTAACTATTATAGAAAACAGAAAACTATAATTCCTGGTTGACTGTAAGCCCCAAACTTGCCTTACTTTTCACAGAATATTGGAAATCAAAGTGAATGAGAGTAGATAGAACAATAAAAGATAGCAACAAAGGAAATAAGACATATGCAAGCCCCTCTTTGCACTAAGAAAAAAGTCTAGTACACACAAGAGTCATTATGTAAATTGTAGAATATTACATGTTTTGGAGTATAATGATTTTTATATTGTATCTACCATACAATCTATATCATATCATTTATTGGGATATAAGCCAAACTCTAAAGCCAGTAAAAGCAGAATTAAAGGAGATCTTCTTACAGATCAGAGTAACTAAAGAAGAATGAATAATATAATGATGACCCAACAGTCATTTTAGTGAGTCTTACTTACTAGTGAGCAAGCCTAACAATTTAAAGCCTTGCAAACTAGTGGCTACTAACACGTAAGTGCCTTCCAATTGACTTCTGATTTTGCCTAATGATTTAAGGCCCTACAAACTAGTAGCTATTAATGTTAGAGCATTTCCAATTGACTTCTGATTTTCTGTCTTTGTTTTTCAAATACATGAATAAAGGACTGTCCATTCAAAAGATGTTCCTAACCCTCCATCAGTGACAAACAGCTTTGAGTTGTTGGCTTATAAGCAATGAAGAAGGGCATGATTAGTCACCCTTTCTCATCTGAATGCCTAATGCCTCCAGGCACACATTTCTGATACACCCATCCAGAATTATGGATATATTCTGTGGCAAAACAGCGATTAATTTTGCCTGTTTGTATATTGTTTTACTCTGTTCCATTGACCTCATTAGCACCTGTACTTACCAGCTAAGCCATAGAGTTCAGACGTTTTCATACTGTATTTTGGTCATTTATTTGTAATTCTTCTAGTTTTCTTTGGCATTTATTAACAGCAACAATATTTTCTTCCTCACTCACCTTTTGTATATATCCTTTCATTTACTCAAACACTAGATGAGTGCCGGTCTCTAGAGCTTTGTGAGTAACAGAAAGAGTGGACTGAGATGAAGCCAGAAAAGAAAGCAAGAGCCACATCATTTGAGGTCTCATAAACTTTTGAGAAATCTGGCCTTCATCTTAAGAGCAGTAGGAAAGTACTGAAGAGTTTTAAGCACAGGAGTGACACAGTCTTACTTCTGCCATTAGCTTACCTTGTTTTTTCCCCCTTTCCCAATGGGATCACTGTAGCCAGTGGTTTTATACTACCATCCTAATATTTATGTTTCCTGGCTATTTCCAACTAACGGACTAGTTTTTTTTGTTTGTTTTTTTGTTTGTTTGTTTGTTTGTTGCGGTACGCGGGCCTCTCACTGTTGTGGCCTCTCCCGTTGCGGAGCAACAGGCTCCGGACGCGCAGGCTCAGCGGCCATGGCTCACGGGCACAGCCGCTCCACAGCATGTGGGATCTTCCCGGACCGGGGCACGAACCCGCGTCCTCTGCATCGGCAGGCGGACTCTCAACCACTGAGCCACCAGGGAAGCCCCGAACTAGTTTTTTAATGAAAGAAAAAGGTTGCCAACTGTACAAAAATAAACTCTCTGGGAGGCACAAGAGAGTTTGCAAATAAGAATATGAGTTGGTTCAGGAAAACAAATGGTACATGCTATGGATGGATTCATTATTTGTGAATGATGGCTCATCTGCAATAATGAAATAAAGGGGGGTAGACATATTTCTTTGATGCTCTTTATTGCAAAGATTAATAATATAAGTATAAAAATCACTTCCTGGGCAGGTATCACAGCATAAAATACTTGTAGCAATGTGTTTGATCTACACACCCAAACACTAATAATAAAGAAGCCTCATTTAGGAATCAATCGATCGATCTATCTATCTTATCTGTGTGTCTATCTATTCATTCCTGGTATTTTTTTAACATCTGGCTATAGTATGCAGTGACTCTTTTGGTTTTGCTTTTAACCAAGAACAAGAGGGAAGTAACCTAGTTTATGTTGGTGCCCACCTGGTTTCAGTTGCTCATTTTACAATATTTTAAAATGATAGACTATTGGTGGTGATGTCTTTCCCAGGAGAAGAAGTTGACAGACAGCTGTGCAGAGACGCCATCTTCCCCATCCCTGTTGCCTGCGATGCCCCATGCCCCAAGGACTGTGTGCTCAGCACGTGGTCTGCATGGTCGTCCTGCTCCCACACCTGCTCGGGGAAAACCACAGAAGGGAAACAGATACGAGCACGGTCCATCCTGGCCTATGCAGGAGAGGAAGGTAAGGTCACCAGCTTCAGAAGGGACTTAGGTTTCTTCCAGAAGTTGGTGTGCATTTTCTTTGTGTAGCCTGGATACGAGGGATGTTCTACAAAAATCAACTTCCAGCAATCCAGCAATCCAAGGAGATTTAATATCTGTTGACATATTGGGCAGCTTGCTCCTGTTCCCCCAAATTAACCTTGAAGATAGATCTTTAATAAAAAAAAGACTTTGGAAAGTGAACTCACTTTGCCTTTTCTCCCTCCTAATAATTCACGTTCTTTCTACTTTAAAGTGTTAAACCTGTGAAAAAAATTTGAAAATGACTCTCCACATTGCAAATGTCAGGTTTCATTGTTTTTTCTCTATTTCAGTAGTCAGTTTTCCCCATGAAATCATATTCTACCTTCTCATAAATAGTAAGCTTTATTTTAAATAATCACCAGCATGACTGTTGCTTGACTAAAAATTACATGGATTTTCTAGCATTCAGGTTCTTGAGCATAGGCTCTGAGATCCAGAATGTAGACTGTGTTCATTTTTAAAATACTTTGCTCCTAAATCACTTCACCCTATTGGGTGAATAAAGCACAGGTGTTTCATATATTCATAGCTCAGTTGTTCAAGCTTTATTGTCGAGTAATACAAGGCTCTTGGTAATTGTCTCTCAAGCTTGTATCCAGATGCTAATTTGGCCTCTGTGTGACTGGGTGATATAATGTCATATTTAATCTTGTCATTCTGGAAAATAACACAAGAGTAAGGAAAATGTAGAAATAAGTCAAATTCTGTCACATTAAGGCATGTTCTGTCTCAAGAATATAGGTGTATGTTTTTTAAATGTTATCAGGCTGAATGACACTTCTCCATTCACATTTAACACTAGTAAATAATGATTTCTATTTGTAGTAAGCACATGTTTCTTTATGTATACATCCAAGTAATCAATTTTGGAGGAGTTTTCATATTGCCTATTTCATTTTTCTGTTTATGAAGCATTTTAGTGATAGAAATCTGCTAGTATTCTTACTTAATCAAACTTGCTATCTGTGTATGTGATTCTATGCAAAAATATAACTACCTTGGACTTAAGACATAGGAGAAAATTTAACATATTTAAAATAGACAACCTATGAGAAAATTTAGAATTTTCTTTAAAGTGTCCAAAAACTTCTTTCTTGTCACCTCAGTATAATTTTAATTATTTGCTACCAAGAGAAAAATGTATCTATGGAACCTAATAGAAAAATAGAACCTTTTAGAGACAAAATTATATTCCTTATGTTGTCAAACAATAACTCTAACCTTGTATAGATTATATTCAGACTTCACACTCTGTCAGCTCAGATTATGTCTTGGGCTTCATTAAAATTAGATCTGTGGCCACCCTGCTTCCTATAAATCCATTATACTCTGCAGACACTTGCTGTGTGACTAGTAATAAGTGACTTTTCGCCCTATAAGTCACATGGCTGAGATTTTGCCATATTTGCAGAACTCACCAGATCATTATTTCTATAGACATGATGCTTCACACTGAAAGGTCATAGAATGCTTTAAAGGCAAAAATTTATGATTGTTGTTTGGTATGTATCATCCACTTAGTTTGAAAGTGTGGGACTTTGATAACTTTTAATGAAGGCTAATAGCTGCATCATAAGCAACCCATGCTGGAAAATTACAGATGTGTATATAGTTAATCATAAAGGCATGAATTCAAAACATAATTTTAAATGGAAACTGTAGAGGAAACTCTGGCAGTGAGGAATCTGCTGCTATTTGTCTCTGTTAATAACAGCTACAAAAACTGGTATAATTATGTGAAATATTTAATGAAGAATTTATCTTTCAAAAACGATATAATACCTATTATTTGCTGGACACTGAAACACATTTTCTTTTCTTCAAACTAAGCCTTTTCTAATTCTGAGCTATTTTTTAAATGATTTAGGAACTGCATTTGCAGGAAGTTTTAAAATATGTTTCCCTGCCAATTAGCTAACCCTTTATAATTCTACACAAAAGCAGGTATTTCTGTTATTCCCCAAGAATTAGTATTTTGTATATGTCTTAAATGTTCTTAATTATCTGTGGATCAGAAAATTAATGTGATAACCTTAAGGGAAAAGATCACCTTAATAAAATTATATATTGAGTAAACACAAGACATGAAATTATACAACTTTCTGGTGAAATAACTTACAGGACAAATGTATTTATCTGGATTTACAAAATAAATGCTGCACCCTATACATTTGTACTTTTATTTATCTCAGTAATATAACCTCTTTGTATTAATAAGGAAACATTAAGTTGCACTGCAGTTACAGCCCATAAGTTCAGTAACTTAAAAAAAAAACAATTATTTTTCCCTCTTGGGAATTTTGCTGTAGTGACAGGTGACTCTCCAAGGCAGTCTGTCCTACATGAAATGTCTCAGCATTGCACCTGCATATGAAGGCCTGCCTCACAATCCTCATGCCTGAGGAAGAAGATAGCTGGGGAGTCTATCTGCTGATTTAAAAACATCAGCAATTAAATTCTTTCATCCAGAAGTGATTTGTGTCATTTCCACTGACATTTCATTATCAAAGCAAATCATATAATCATGACTTGAAGTTGAACCTAATTTTAAGCAGAACAGGGGAAATATAGTGCTACTGTGTGCTAGAAAGAGAGGAGTGCTGGCTACTGGTCTTAACCCTGGTTTACCTGTCTTTTTTTTGGTATGTCTGTATGCATGTGTGTGTCTACCTTTATGTCTATATGTATATCTATTTCCATATATATATGTGTGTGTGAGAGAGTGAGATAGAGGATTATTCCATATGGCCCCAGTGCAGTAGATAAGCTCTCCATTGTTAAAATGTTTTGACTTCTTATTTCTTTGTTCCTATTAAAAGAATGATAGAATAGTAGAATAGCACTTCCTTTTCCTCATGTTATACTTCCTTTTTGCTTTCCTTCCCTTCCTTTCTAGGCTCTGTATCTCTCTTCCTGAACAATTTTATCTGCAAAATCATTAAGTGGAACCAAGCAGTTGAGCATCTATGCCAGCAGGTGGGGGGTCTGCAGTGGTCCAGAGTGAGTTGTCAGAGCCCAGGCTGAGTGAGATGAGCATCCCCAGTAGGAAAAGGATGGCCTGGCATGAAGTGTCAGAGACACTGAGAAGTCTAAAGGGGTTGGGGTGGGGGGGACCATGGATTATATAAGAGGGTAAAAGCAGCGACCCAACACAGGATGCCAGAGCACGAGCAGGGTGAAGAGAGAATCCCAGCATTGAAGCAGCCAGCCCAGTGTGGGGTGTTGGAGCCAAGCAGGGATGAGGAGGGTTTCAGTAATGTGGGGTGGCCAAATGCAGGGTGTCAGAGTATGGGCAGAGTGATGAAGATATCCTATGGGTACAGCAATGAAGATGTCAGTGAGAGATTGGAATAATCTGGGGTGGGGGAGTGACCAAATAGGTACATGTATTAAACATAATAGGAGTTGGGTTTCTTATTGCTAGAGAAGGGAGTTATAAGTATGTTAAGAAAGAAAACTAGGGCTTCCCTGGTGGTGCAGTGGTTGAGAGTCCGCCTGCCGTTGCAGGGGACACGGGTTCGTGCCCCGGTCCGGGAAGATCCCACATGCCGCGGAGCGGCTGGGCCTGTGAGCCATGACCACTCCGCAACGGGAGACGCCACAGCAGTGAGAGTCCCGCGTACCGAAAAAAAAGAAAAGAAAGAAAACTAGGATAAACCCTATTGTATTATATTGGAACTTGAAGTTATCCGTGTGAATTCATGGTGTCCAATTTATAAATCTAGACATAGAAATAAAATACAAACATATGTATGATATATATTCATATTATGGGTGTATACATGTATTAGCTCTGTCCACTGAAATGACATGAGAGCAGCAGGACCACAATAGCAATAAGTGCATTCAGCACTCAGATCTTGGTGTCTAATGCCATTCTCCAATGAAAGGAACCAGGGCTTTTTGGAGAAATAGCTGATTCTAAGGCTGAGATAGGAAAAGTACAAGATGTGCCTGGAGGCTCTTGTGCCAGAAAGGAAGGAAGAGGAGAATATGTCAAAAGGTCACAGAAGCTAGCTTGAAGGGTCTCCCACTGGCCACATACAGGAACAATGTGAATGCCAAAATAATGATAACAGCTGGTTATAACTCTTTAAATAAGAGAGGAAACCATGGATCCATACTTGATATAAATAAATGTATTAATTGAAAGTCTGATGAAGAGCATTATATTTACAATCTTAAGTATCCTCCTAAATGAAGAAGTTTGACAGACACCACCTTAATCCAGTGATCAAAGTTTGCATCATCGGGCTTCCCTGGTGGCGCAGTGGTTGGGAGTCCGCCTGCCGATGCAGGGGACGCGGGTTCGTGCCCCGGTCCGGGAAGATCCCACATGCCGCGGAGCGGCTGGGCCCGTGAGCCATGGCCAGAGGGCCGCCAACCGAAAAAAAAAAAAAAAAAAAAAAAAAAGTTTACATCATCAGTAATGGGGCACATGCAAAGCGTGTGTTCCTGGTGTGGTGCAATGAGAACATGACATCACATCTGTAACATCCCTGTCACAGATACATATTGTAGAATCTAATCATGAGGAAAGATCTGACAAACCCTAGCTGAAAGACATTGTACGAAATAACTGGCCCTTAAACTTCAGAAGTGTCTAAATTATAAAAATTAAGGAAAGACTGAGGAAGATTGAAAGAGACTAACAAGTCATAACATCTAAATGCAACACTTGATTCTGAACTAGGTCCTTTTGCTATAAAGAATATTTTGGGATAGTTGGCAAGCTTGAATGGGTCTGAGGATTAGATGGAAATAATGTATCACTGTTAATTTCCTGATCTTAAATATTGAATATGCTTATATTTAGGAAAATGCCCTTGACTGCAGGAAATACACATTGAAGTTTTTAGGGTAATAGGGTATCATTTCAATAACTTCTTCCAAGTGATCCAAGAGAAGAAACTATTGATAATACTTTTAATTTTC